GAGGTCAAATTTTGAAGTTGGTTGTTAAGACCTAAAAAGGTGTCTATCTGATGCAGTTTTTCACGGCAAATTGAATGGTGCTGTTTTTGTTTCCACACGAGGTCTAGAACTTCAAAAAAAATTAACAAATGTGTGTCGTGACGTCATAAAAGTTTAAATAACTCCCACATTTTTGAACCGATTCTTCTAAAAGCTTGCATGTAAGTGCACATAGACCACTTCTCTGACATCTATTCTAGTTTTTCCGATAGACTCAAAATTTTGGATTTTATAATGATTTTCCCAAGAAAGTCAAACTTTTGAGAAAAAATGGGCTAAAATCCAACATTAAAAAAACCGAGATAGTCATTTGATAGACAAAGTAAATTCACGTATAAACTTTTTGTTACGTCTTGGTTCCTTTGAAAATGAAGATGTTAGTGGCGTTTGAAGTTTTGCCGTTTTTGAGGCGAAAATGGCGTTACATGACGTCAATGAAACGTCATTGTCTCAAACAAAAAGTCCGACGGATTTCGCTCAAATTTTCAGGGAACATGTTGAATTGATGTATGATAAGGTACTGACGTCGCTGGCATAACGCGTTTAACACGCGCAGTGGAAGGGTTGCGAGTACTACGCCCAGTGGAAGGGGGGGCGGATGTCGCCCCCCCCCTAAGATCTCAGCTCCCACTGGAGCTAGAAAAACGAAATTTGGAGGGTAGGTGGGGGCCATGGGGAACTCTGTTGTGTGTGAATTTTATGACCCTAGGTCAATATCTTCATGGTCAAATGAGGTCAAATGTGGTCAAATCTGCCATATTAGCGACTTTTTTTGCGTTTACACGCCGATAACTCAAAAAGTTACCGGCCGATTTTTTTTAAATCTTTCACTATACGAAAGAACAAACATTTGTGAGTATGTATGGAGAATTTCTAGATAATCCAATAATAAATATGGCAGTTAGAAGCCTGCTAAGGGTAAGATGTCGCCGGCTGAAGCGGCATCGGCCGACGCGGGAAACGCGGCAATCACAATTTTGTGTTTACACACTCATAACTCAAGTTGTTACCGGCCGATTTTCAAAATTCTTTTACCATATGATTGCCTGTATATTTCTCAGTCTTCTCACCGAATTTGACGCGAATCTAATATAATCAGCGGTAAGGAGCGCGATGTAAAGACGGAACCGTCCCGCCCCGGCACAGTCTACAATTCAGGCGGCGCGTAACGGCTAGCGCCGGCCGCCGCGCCGCCGCGCCGCGGCGGCGGCAGGATGTTTGAATTTACACCGCTATTACTAGAAAAGTTGTGAACCGATTTTCTTACTTTTTGCACGAGAAGATCCGCAATTCAATTTTGGACAGGTAGCCGAAATTTCACATTGATATCATGCTTGCGGCGCGAGTTATTGGCGAAAAACAGGAGGGGTGGGCGAAATCCGCCCCCCCCCCCCTTCCACTGCGCGTGTTAAAGTTATTGGCGAAAAACGGGAGGGGGCAGATTCTGCCCCCCCCCCCCCCAGCGGGGCGCGGGTTAATGCTCGCCTAAAAATATCATTTTAAAAATAAGAAAACTAAACTATCATTACCATCAGTACTAAAATTACCATCCACAATCGGCAGAGCTACGCTAACTGACCAGTTATCTTCAAACTATTGTCGATTGATAAGGGTAGGTACAGGGCCGTCCTACCATACAAACGAGCCGACGCGAGTGGTTTCGGCCGCTGACAGCCAACTGAGGTGAACGCTTGATGATAGTGGCGGGGGCAACGGGGGCCTAATCAACTCATAGCGGCGACGCGGCTATGGAAGGTTAGGACCCTGCCCGGGCGCCACTGAACGTGACCGGAGCAAAGGAAGACGGGTGTACATTGGTTATCTGTACATGCATCGGTGACCTAAGGTCAATTTTGCGATCTCTCTACTACATTTCAATGGGAGACATTTAAGCTGCGACTTTCTTGGACATAGGTAAGACATTCTACACACTCTATAACAGCGTGTAACATGTCGGTCGGCATTGGATACTGATTGGGAATGGGGTCTTAGGCCATGGAAGGTAGCAAGCAGTTATTCGGCAATGACTTTTGAATAGAGACATTCCAGAGCGTCAAAAACACTTAAATCTGTTCAGCTCAACGATACAAATCGACTAATTTGTAACATGACATGTTCCGTTCAGAGGCCTTTATTGTTATATAAAAATCCGTGCCGATCCCGAATTTTATTCCCGATTCTGTGCCGATTTGCAGCCTCCCCCCAAAAAAGGAGCCGGAAGGTGCATGTAGGATAAACATGCGTTACCGATAACCTTTTTTTTTGCACGACATTTATTTGAAGCAATGGCTGATGGCTCGATTTGATTTGATAATAGTGGCTCCAGGTGGCTTCAGGACCTTGACCTTCAAATGAAGGTCAATATATAAATGGTCAGATATATAAATGGCTCGCAACCACTAATAGCAATCAAACCATCCTAACTCGGAAAAGCAGCCGGAGCCCTGATGAGGCTCGAACCGGGACTCAACGCTGTAAATTTTTTTCCTATGATCCATCACCATTCCACCAAGCTAGAGTGACCGGCACCCGAACCCACAAAAACATTAACTGACTTTGTCGCCGACCTCCCGGCCCCGGCCGCCGCCCGCCCGTCCAGACTTTGCCCCGGGCCCCGGCCAAAACCGCCATCCGGTGTAGCTCAGCGTAGGAGTGCCTGACTGTCAAACTGACCGGTAGTGAGGGGCCCGGTTCGAAACGCTCCGGATGCTGGATATTTATTTTTCGGTGGGAGGCTTTGCGTTTAGTCCACTTTTCAGAAAGATCATTTGGTGACTGACCTGTTTTCTTTCTTTGCTGCAATTGGAGTCCGTATGCACCCTTAACCCTATTCCTGGCGGGGGGGGGGGGCCTCAGGAGCCCCCCCTGAGGTTTTTTGGTTATATCTCCCAAACGCGTTGAGCTAGGAAGCTCAAATTTTCTGACTTTTCCTAAAAGGCTTCTACGCAACATGTCTGAAAATTTTGAGTTGATCTGACCTCAGGTCAGGTCACCAGAGGCGGTTTAGTGACGCTACCTCAGAAAAGTTTGCAATCACGCCAGAGCTAGAGTTTTTGACCGATCAATTTCTTCTCTTCAGGGTTTAGTTAGGGTACCAGTATGTGCAATTTGTATATCTCGGAATTTTGATATCGGTGACCTAAGGTCAGGTCAATTTCGCGACCTCCCCATTATAAGTCAATGGGGGAAAAATCAACTCCCTGTTTTTACCACTAAAACGGGTCGGAATGGCCCCATATACCATACATGACTTCATATACGATCAACCTTCACTACCTTGAGGTCTGTTTTGCTGTTGGGCAGCTGTGAGGTCATGTGACGTCATCAAAGGTCACCAAAGGTTTTTGGCCAATAACTCCGTACAGGAACAAGATACAGACGCGTGGATGGTCTCATTGTGTTCAGCTCGTCAAGACGCATCGAATGATATACATGATGACCTCGAGGTCACGTGACCTGAGGTCAACCTTTGACCTTGACCTTTCGAGGTCAACATATATATCATTCGATGCGGATTGACGAGAGGATCACGATGATGCCCTTAGTTTGTTCCTATCTTGACTAATTCGAAAGTTATTCGAGAAAAACTCTCTCCATATGTAGTGCCGCCATTTTGACTTTTTCGACCCCTGTGACGTCATCTTTGACCTGACCTGAAAATGACCTCAGTAAAAATTGTAGATCTTGGCCGTGCGTATCCGATGCCGTTTACCGCTTGTCGCTATCTTGCTTCGTTCTCGAGATCTCAGGGGGGGGGCCGAATCGGCCCCCCCCCCGCCAGTTTCTTGTCCCGGCGGAGCCCGCCAGGAATAGGGTAAAAGTACGCACATGGCACAGCTTGGCTAAAAATCACAGACAAAAAAAAACGGATGATAGGTGGCGCATCTATGACTGGCTCGCGTATGCTGCTCTTACGCTGGCTCGGAAAGTGGTCGGGTTGATGTTTTGTCGCTGCTCGTTGGGCAGACGGTTCCATGTCCGTAAAGCACGAACTGGCACGGTCTTGTGTGTGACCTCCATCCTGCATCGCGGTGCGTGTAGGACACCGTCGGTCTCGGTGGCCGAACGAGTGGTCCGCTCGGACACATCCGCTCGGGCACACACAAGCGATCTCAGGGCTTGTGGAGTGTCGGTGCAGTGCACAAGTCTGTGCACTAAAGCACAGTCTCTGAGCTCGATTATTTCGGCAAATTTCAACCAGCCCAGTTGTCTGCGAGCGGCTGAAACGTGATCGGTTTTCTTTTTACCGGTGATTATGCGGATGGCGAAGTTCAGCATCTTCTCGATGCGATGTTGTAGCTGATGCGTGGGCGGAGCCCATGCAGGCAGGCAGTAGGTGACGTGAGGCATGACCAGGGTTTGGATGAGCGTTGTCATGGTGGAGGGAGGCAGCGTGCCTCTCAGCTTCCTGAGCGTGACGAGGGTGCCATACCCGCGCTGCACGACACGGGCTGTCTGTCGTTCCATCGACAGAGTCTGATCAAGTAAGACGCCGAGAAACTTCATGTGTTCAGTGCGTTCCAACCTGATGCCGTCGAAGGTGATGTTGAAGTTGGTTACTTTTTGACAGACATTACCTGTCCTTCCGCACCCCACTGGGTGGTTGCCCCCCCCCCCATGGGTTTTGTGAATATATCTAAAACGAATTTTCGGAGGGGATACGATCGGTTCTATGCGACAAGTGACCACACACGCCCAGCCCCAGGTCCGCTCACTTCCTCCCCACATCACCCCCTCCCCACACCACACTCCAGCCAACCTCATCCACCGAGCCCGAGCCATGACGAGCCTCAGCGCCCCGGGGCGCGACCTGTCAGCGAACCGGCGGGGACGCGGGCCGGCGGTTGCGTGCGCCGCGGGGGCAGGGGCGCGTCCAGGCGTCGGGGACATCGAGGTGGCGCGAGCTGGCGCCGCCACGGCGACACTGGACCAGACCTGATAATTGGACACATCAACATTCAGTCGTTGAAGCCCAAACTGCCGGATCTGCGAGACGACATTCATAGAGTTCACGGATTTGATATACCTATTGTCACTGTTTTTATATAACAGTGTTCGCTGACAGGTCGCGCCCCTACCTACCGTTGTTGCCACTAATTCGCGCTTTTGAGACGAGCGGTAGCAGAGACATAAGAATCTCTTCATATTTCACCGATTGACTGGTGGCAATATGCTGTGTTTCGCCCTCACACGGTCAACACAAAAACTGGGAGGGCGGCTTGGCCGGCGGCAGACCGGTGTTGCTCAACAGTCACGTGCCTACCTGAGGCGGGCTGGTTGGTCGCGGCGCCGCCAGTCGTCGCGCGCGTCGCCGCCCCGGGCACCGGCCGGCGAGAGGCCGGGCGCCGGCGAAACCGGCCGGCGCGGCGGCCGCACTGTGCCGACGCGATGGCCGCGATGAGGGTGGTGCTGACGGTGCTGGTGACGGCGGCGGCGGCGGCCGCGCGGCCCCAGGAGGCCGACCAGCCGCCGGCTGTCGAGGTGCAGCCCAAAGAGCTGGCCGGCGACCAGAGCACCTATCAGGTGGTGCCGGCCGAGGCCGAACAGGACCTGGAGACGAGTGCGCGCGCGCTGCTCGACCTGCTGGAGCCGCAGAGCCAGCAGCAAGCGCAGAAACAGGCGCTGGCCGAGTGGGCGTACGCCTCCAACATCACCGCCGAGAATGAGCAGGCCATGGTGAGTGCCGGCTGGGAGCCGTGAGAGAACAGAGAAAGAGAGAGAGAGAGAGAGAGAGAGAGAGAGAGAGAGAGAGAGAGAGAGAGAGAGAGAGAGAGAGAGAGAGAGAGAGAGAGAGAGAGAGAGAGAGAGAGAGAGAGAGAGAGAGAGAGAGAGAGAGAGAGAGAACAGAGAACATTGATCATTCCACGGTCACCGGTCAGTACTCGGTGCTCGGTGCCGCCGCAGACGGGACGCAAATGGTCCGGAGACAGTGCCGGGCATGGTGCAGCACCCGCCAGTCTATACCGGGCAACTTTCTACTCAAAATGACTTTGTAGGTACAAGTGACTTTTTTGCATCGTTTACCTCATCGTCATCACCTGAGGTCAGACTAGTCACGTGACCTCACCATTCGGCTTAATTAAGTCAGGGGGACCTATATGAAACGATTATGTTGACACCGGAACCGATCTAAGGCTATTTAACCCTCGCCGGACCTATTGGTTTTCTACATACGCGCCGGCCGAGGGGGGGCGGGTACGACCCCCCCCTCGCCGTTTCGCCCCTGGTGGAGCTAGCGCGTCGCGGAAAAAACGAGCGTGTGCGCCGTTACGAGACGCAGAGATTGGTACCCGATTTTAAGGTCCTAGGTCAACCGGTGACCTCTGAGGTCAGGTCAAGTGCCCCAAGGTACGGTTCAGTTTTTGGTGAATAACTTCGCAAAAAACGGCCGCAGAGCGCCGATTTTGGCAGCATCGTGTTCGTCTCGCTCAGGCGCGTCGAATGGTATACTTTTTGTCCGGGTCAGGTCAACTTGGGGTGTTGACCTCAGGTCAAGGTCAGGTCAGCACCCCCAGGTCACAAAGTTGGTCGAAAGGGGTCATGTCGCATGTCATTCGATTCGGCAGGTCTTCCTGAGTCCATTGGTGGCTTTCTCGTCTCGCTAGCTCAATTTGATCAAGAGTTATTGACGAAAAACTAATATGACCTTGATGACGTCATAAATGACGTCACGCAAGGTCAACATTGCAAAAGTGACGCATCTAACCTTGCAAGGAGTGCATAAAATCACGATTCTGTGTGCTTGAGATAGTTGGAGATCGTTCCCGGCGCCAGAATAGCAGTTTTCATTTTTCCCCATTGACTTATAATGGTGAGGTCACGAAAATGACCTGACCTCATATGACCTTTAGGAAAAATCCGAGATATACAAGTTGTGGGACTCATAATGGATACTAGATCCTGCAAGTTTCATTTCCCTGTGACATCTCCTCTGGCAGTGAGGGCGTTGCGAAGTTGCGACATCTGAAGACCGTGCAGAGGTTCACTTATGACGTCATAGGTCAGTGACCTGACCTGACCCAAAAATGCGGTTGGTGTCAAAAGATGCGGCTTGGATCAAAGGTCAGGTATGCCAAGTTTTAGCTCTCTATCGCCAGCGTGTTCGGAGCTATTGCGAAAAAACCCTATGGGGGGGGGGCGGCACCCGCCCCCCCCCCCCTCGGCCGGCGAGGGTTAAAGCACATGCAAGCTTAAGTTCATGGGCTTCTTGCATGTCACGGTGCTTAGATTCTGCTTTGTTGACCTTTCGTGACGTCATATATTACATTCCTTAGGTCTCTTGAGGTCATTCGGGTTTTTCGTCAATAACTCATGATCCAATTGAGCCAGCGAGTCAGAAATGTCAGCAATTGACTCAGAAGACCTGCCGAGCCGAGTGATATGAGATGTGACCTCTTTCAATCAGACTCGTTACATGAGCCATGTATTATTCGATAAGCCGAAAGATGACGGAGGCGCTGGTGTGAGCCAAAATCGCAGATCTGCGACCATTCTGGCGAGATTATTTACCGAAAACCGTATGTATAGGTACCAACTGTGTGGCGTTTGATCTGACCTAGAGTTCACCGGTCGGCGCGGTTGCCTTGAGATAATATGATTAGTAACAGCACGCCCGCCCGTTCTTTTTGTTCAGCTCTGCAGTTCAATCAGGGGTGAGACGGCGAGCGGGATTGCTACACCTGACAATTTCTTCTCTTTTCGTTCCCTTAGGACGTACCTAATACGTAGGTATACAGAAAGTGATAGGTCTGGCGAGAATCAGATGCCGCCGAAACACGCCAAATAGGGATAATCCCTATGCAACAAACCTTACGCCGTCTCTCGACATCAGTTTTAGGTGCGTTATTGGACAGAGGTTTCCACAATAAAATTGGCTGTAATGGTTATATAATGCCACAAAGACTAATTTAAAGGAAAACTGTGCCTATTTGTTGTTCACGGCATTCTGCAAATAAAAAGTGCGATGTTTCTGGAGTGGCGTGATGGAATGGCCAGGTCGCTCCTACTCTGATGCACGTAACGAAGACCGTCTGACTAATAGAATCAGACAACTCACAATAGGGCTGTCAAGAACAAATCCGCCATGGAACGGGGATACATGCGCAAAATACCTAAATGCGTGTTACAAACGGATTGTAATGCTGAACCGATAGGAAAATCCGTTCGTGATGAGTATTTATTTGCTCATGTATCCCAGGTCATAGTGGCGGGCGTTGGATGAGAAGAGTTTGTTGTATGGTCCCAGCCCGGAGCCCCCTGTATAATTTATACTTTATACAATCTCGGTGATAGTTACACTGCTTATAAATTCGCCATCGTTCCATCGCGCGCTCACCGCAGCAAGGAAAATTCGTCAGCGCATGACGTGTTGACCACCAGCCATAAAGATTCAGGATACAGGCATTGTCACAAAGTGTTTCGACTCTGATAGTTTGCTTAGCCTTTGTTTTCCATTGTTGGATTTGCAACAAATGATTCGAGAGACAATTGGTGACTAAGTCCGATTGCCATGGAGCCTCGTATTTCGTGTTTGAAATTCGACCGTTCCATTATAGTCCCATTAATTATCTGATCAGTAATCACTGCATGCACTTATAAGGTTAGAGCAATGATTCAAGAGATGATCTAGCAATGCTGCTTAAATTATTAACCGGCACTTTATGAAAACTCATATACTGAATGCATGACAAGAATGTTTGGTACAATTATTTATAAAGACCACGCGACAAATGCCTTCCGTACAGCGATACATGCATACTACTGGTAAATCCATGTTGGTAACTGAAGCCTAACTATTTACAAAACAGGCAAGGTAATAGTTAACAGTTTGTTTGATATTATAGATTTTAAAGTTAAATGTTATTCATATTAAGTGCAGCCTTCATTCATTCCCCAACAAATTATTACGGGTATCTATTCACTTTTTCAATGTAAATAGACCACGACATTTCAATGAGATGCATGACCAGTGCAGGTATGGTATGTACCTAAGTATCGAGGAGAGGACGAGCGTGATAGAACTCAGGTGACCCACATTTTTTATTGACCCCTCGGATAGTGTTTTGACATTCACTTTCCACTGACGATAAGAAAAGCGAAACGGCTTGGGTGTTTTTCTGTGTGCCTTCATGATAATCTGCATGTTTTAGGCATACTTGCGCAAGATGACAGAGATTGACAGTCCGGTCTGAAGAAGAATGTACCCACAAAGAAATAAGAACGTTCGTACTGCGATCGGCCGGTACTCGGGTACGTAAAATGATGCCTGTCTATTCCTATATGTACATATATAGTGCCATGGATGAAGGGTGAGCTCGGCGATACATGGGTATCTCCTTGATGTCATAACACTTGAAGAGGGCTGTTTTTTTTATCAAACACAGTTGTCTCCACCGTAGCCCCCGCAGGATTTGCTGCGCTCTTTCGGTCGGCTCCAGCAGGGCGATATGCTAATGTGACTGGAAGGCCCGCGGGCAGCCTGCCCGGACGGAACGATGGCGCAACACACGGCGGCGGCGTGGAGTGCGCGGCAAAAACGGCGCGCGGACGTGCAGCCGGTGACGCACAGTTTCTCCCGCCAACGGTGACCCTTTGACAAAGTCAGTGTGACTGTTTTGTTGATGGGAACTGCGATCATGACGGCGCGAATGTTACCGCCAAAGGACGTCTTTTTGCTGAGCAGTTTGGGCTACTGACACCGTTCGGACGGCTTTTTATTGTAATATTGCGCAATGGGATGCTTACATTGAACAACACGCTGTACCTATAAGGCCCGGACTCCCGGACTTTGGAGCAGTTCGAAGTCTGGGAACTCATTCATAAGGACATGCCGTGATTCGGCGGTTGATAGAAATTTAGATATGAGACGCAAGACGACCGTAACAGTAGAGGTGCCCTTCAGATCAACCGCACAAACAAGTTGGCAATACATTTCAAAATAAAACTGTTTTAATAAATGTCAGATGAAGCCCATCTCATCGGTCGACTTATCAGGCCGATCGGTCGGGCACCGGTGCGGTGCGGCGGGGTCGGGTCGGGGCGGGGCGGGGCGGGACGGGCCCGCTGCCTCTGGGAAGGCCATTGAGAGTGGAGCTTGGACTGGACCGGGCCGCGCGGTGGTCCAGTGTGGGCCGGACCCCAGGACCGGGCCGGTGGCCCAGTTGCCGCTCTGGCAGCCGGCCAGTGTCGCGGCGTACCTCCGAAGACGGGCCTCGGCACCTCAGTGCCTCTCGGAGATGGGCCGATACAGAGAGTGAAAGGGAGATCCCGTCAAGGATCGCATGGCAGCGCCGCACTGCACCGACTGTCCATCGCAGCTTATGAATGCTTGGTGATACCGTATGGGTAACCCTTTCCTGTGGACGTATTTAAAGGATCGTCCGTTCCTGCCCTGCGAAAATGCATTTATATTGGGTATTTATTTGACATGACTTTGGATGGCGCAGCACACAATAGCCGTCCGACATTTTATTGAGGAGATACTCATCTGAATGACACTCAACGGTCACACGAATACACTTTGGCCAATCGCCAGTCTGTATGAACTAACAAACGCCGCCCGGCACCAGTGATCTGAAGCGAGCCGGCCACGTCGAGCGCAGACGGAATTTGATTGCTGAGTTGTCAGAAGGGATACCACACATGTGGTCAACTTTAACGACTCCATACACGTGCCA